TGTTAGAGGACATGAAGTGTTCTTCAAGGTAGCAGAAACAAGGCTTCAATAGGGAAAAAAGGGAGGTGGAGGAGAAGAGGAAATGTTTGTCAGGATATTGGAGAGCATAAGAATGTTATTCAAAGGAGGGAGGGAAGGAAAATGGTAGCTGTACAACTAGAACTTAAAAACAGATTTGAAGTTCTTCCTGAGGGAGAGGGAAATAGATGCTTGAAGGAGCAAGAAGCTGATTATTCTTCGAAGAATGATATAGAAGAACTACAGAAAAGCTCAGGCAAAAGATCATCTATAAGGACCAGAGAAGAAAACAGGAAAGAGTAGTAGTAATTGGTTCAGGGGAACTGAGGCAGCCATTTAGCATCCTGATTGTTGACAATAGAGAGGTCTGTTGTCTTCCCAGGGATGCTGTATCCATAACAGGGAACCTCCCAAGTCTTATCAAAATGGATTACAAGTACCCACTTCTGGTGATTAATACAAACACAAATGATGCTGCCAGAAGGAGCCTAAAATGGATGGCCAATCTTGGGAAATCTTGAGAAAGAAACAAAAGGCGTAGGGGCACAGCTGATGTTTTTCTCCCTATTGTCCATGGAAGGTGATAGATGTAGAAGAGAAAGGTTAATTTGTGAAGTAAACAGCTGGCTGAGAAGGTGACATCTGGGAGTGGTATTTGGATTCTGGACCATAGCTTAAAAGATAGAGATAATACATTTCTGGCCAGAGGAGGAGTGTACCTGATAAAAAGTTAGTAAGAATGTATTTGTTCATGTCCTAAAAATGTAACGAATATTGACTAAATAAAATATTAGCAAAAAGGCCCCAGTAACATATTTAAAAGGTTATACAATATGACTAAGTTGGTTTTATACCAGGAATGCAGATTTGGTTCATTATTAGGAAAACTACAAACGTAATAGACCATATTAATAACAAGAAGAATAAAAATCATTACTCTATCAATAGAAGTAGAAAAAAGATTTTGACAACATACAACTTCAATTTCTGGTTAACCAAACAAACCAAGGATGTAAGAATAACTGGACCTTTCCTGAATATGGTAAATAGTATCTATCTAAAACCAAGAGCCAAGATTATATGTAATGTTTATAAACTATGAACTTATTTCCAATAAGATTGGGGGTAATGCAAGGATGTCTGTTTTCACTAATATTATTTGATGTAATGCTAGAAATGTTAGTTATAGCAATAAGGCAAGAAAAATTGTGGGAATAAGGTATGCAAAGAAGAAAGAAAATTATTGTTGATATGTTTGTCTACTTAGAGAACCCTGAAATCAGCAATAAAGTTAATTGAAAGAATTATTAACTTTATTAACAAAGTAGTAGAATCTAAAATATAACTACAGAAATCATTAGCCTTTCTGCATATGTTCAACAAAATGCAAAGGTAAGAAGTAGAAGGAGAAATATTCAAAATAACTACAGAATTATAAAATACATGGGAGTCTATGTTAAGTACACACAGAAGATCTATGAATGCAACTGCCAGAGAAGTTTTATAGAAAATTTAAAGATCAGCTTTAAAAATTGGAGAGATATTTATTGTTCATTGGTGGATCAGGCCAATATAATAATAATGAAAATACTACCAAAATTAATTTAATTATTCAGTGCCATGCCAATCAAGCTACCAAGGGATTAGAGTTAAAAAAAATTAATAAAATATTCACCTGGAAGGAAAAAAAAGGTTAAGAATCACAAGAGAAATAATGGGGGAAAAAAGTGGAAAAGAAGGAGGCCTATGTCAAATTACAGTAGAAAGCAGTAAGCATTAAAACTATTTGGTATTGGTAAAAAAAAAATAGAGAAGTCATTCATTGGAGCAGATTTTGTACTTAACATACAGAAGCAAACTAGTAGCATAGTGTTTGATAAATCTAAAAGTCTCCAATTTCTGGGGCAAAAACTCATTATTTGACAGGAGCTAGTGGGAAAACTGGAAGGCAACATGGTAGAAACTGAGTTTAAATAGTATTTTTTTCCAATTACATGTAAAGACAATTTTCAACATTTTTAAAATAAGATTTTGAGTTCCAAGTTTTTCTCCTTCCTTCCTTGCCCTCCTGCCTCCCCAAGATGGCAAGTAATCTGATATAGGTTATACATATGTAATCATGTAAAACATATTTCCACATTAGTCATGTTGTGAAAGAAGAAACAGAACAAAAAGAAAAACCATAAAAAAAAGTGAAAATAGTATGCTTTGATCTGCATTCACACTCCTTGGTTCTTTCTCTGGATGTGGACAGCATTTTCCATCATGAGTCTTTGGAATTGTCTTGGATCATTGTATTGCTGAGAAGAGCTAAGTCAATCATAGTTGATCATCGCACAATGCTGCTGTTACTGTGTACGATGTTCTCCTGATTGTGCTCACTTCACTCAGCATCAGTTCATGTAAGTCTTTCCAAGTTTTCTGAAATTTGCTTGCTCGTCATTTAGCACAGCAGTATTTCATTACATTCACATACCATAACTTGTTCCACCACTCCCCAGTTGATGGCCGTCCCCTCAATTTCCAACTCTTTGCCACCACAAAAAGAGCTGCTATAAATATTCTTATACAAAAAGGTCCCCCCCCTTTTTTTAGATGTCTCTGGGATATAGCTTTAGCAATGGTATTACTGGATCAAAGGATATGCACAGTTTTATAACCCTTTGGGCATAGTTCCAATTGCTCTTCAGAATGGCTGGATCAGTTCACAACTCCACCAGCAATGCATTAGTGTCCCAATTTTTCCACATCTTCTCCGACATTTATCATTTTCCTTTTCTGTCATATCAGCCAATTTGATAGGTGTGAGGTGGTACCTCAGAGTTGTTTTAATTTTCATTTCTCTAATCAATGTTGATTTAGAGCATTTTTATGACTATAGATTTGATTTCTTAGAAATTTCACATCACATGCCAAGATAAACTCCAAATAGATACATGTTCTGGAGATAAAATGTCATATCATGAACAAGTTAGAGAAGCCCAAATGAAATAACTTTGGAGAAGGGAAGAGTTCATGACCAAAAAAGGGAAAGAGTTTATAAAGAAGATAAAATGGACAACTTTGATTACAAAAAATTGGGAAGTTTTTAAACAAACAAAATTAATGCCCTTAAAATTAGAATGGAAACAGTTAATTGGGAAAATATTTGCAGCAGGTTTTTCTGACAAAAGTATAATATATAAGACAGTAAGAAACAGATTCAAATATATAGGACGTCCCAAAAGTCTTAGTGCATTTTAAGCTTTAATAACTTCAGAAGTTGGTTGGTTGGCTGTTGTCCTTCATTCTTCAGGAGGGCCAAGATGACATCACTACATTAGATTCGAGTTACAGTGTGTCTGACTGTGGCTGATCAGACCAATACCAACTCTGAATGCTGCACCACAGGTCAGGCACAAATAGTCTATGTGAACATTTGGGGTGGACTCTCTAAATCTGTGCATCCTGTGTTTCTTTTGAGATACTTTGATAGAGCACAGCACCCTCTTTGATGGTACATCTTGCTGGGTGGTCCTTTGCCAGCATCTCCAATGTGACCTAATCAATTCCAAAATTCTTCAGAGAGACCTTGAGAGTGTCCTTGTATCACTTCTTCTGACTGCCATGTGAACATTTGCCTTGTGTGAGTTCTCTGTAATATAATCTTTTGGGCAGGCATTAGTTTGGAATTTGAACAACACGCCAGCCAATTGGAGTTGCACTCTGCCGCAGAGTTTGAATGCTTGGCAGTTCAAGAAAGTATGTCAGTGTCCAGTACCTTAACCTGCCAGTTGATCTTCGGAATCATCCTAAGACAATTCAAATGGAAACAATTCAGTTTCCTAGCATGGTGCTGGTATACTGTCCAAGTTTCACAAGCATACAACAATGAGGTCAGCACAATAGTTCTGTAGACCTTTAGTTTTTTAGGCAGTCTAATACCTCTCCTCTCCCATACTTTCCTTTGGAGCCTCCCAAACACTGAACTAGCTCTGGCAATGCCTTTGTCAAACTCATTATCAATGTGTACATTGCTGGAAAGTATACTGCCAAGGTAAGTGAACTTATCCACAGTATCCAAAACTTCTCCATTTTCTGTAACCAGTGGTTCTACATGTGGATGGTGTGGTGCTGGGTGGTGGAGCACTTGTGTTTTCTTGGTGTTGTTAGGCCAAAATAGTACAGCAGCTGAGAATTGATCCATACTTTGTTATATCTCAGCTTCAGAGGCTGCATTGAGTGCATAATCATCTGTGAACGAAAAAATCATATACCAACTCTCCTTCCACTGTAGTCTTGGCTTGTAGCCTTTGCAAGTCAACCTGAGAAGTACAAATGCTGCACACTTACAAAAACATTTGAAAAGTTAATTATTTAAAATTTTAAAATATTGTTGTTTCTTATTAAAATTCAACAACCAACTGCCTTGTATTATACATAATTTTTAAAAATTTCTATTTTTTTCATAATTATTTACAATGTAAAATATTGATTTTTCTTATTAAAATTCAACATAACCAATCACTTTATATTATCCAGTTCTTAGCACAGTGCTTGCACATAGTAGGTACTTAATAAATGTTGATCAATTGATCAATAAATCATGGCTCTAGTCAATTTTTAACCTTTAGAAAAACTTTCATCAGCTGCCGTTCTGTGAATGGAAGGATTGAATTTGTAATCCTAACCTTAAGATTATCCAAAGAAGTAGGTTTTGATGTACCCATGACAGTTTTGATGCAACTCCAGAAGAAAAAGATCTAATGGCGTTAGATCAGGTGAGTTAGGTGGCCAAGTAAGGGGCTGATGAGGGAAGCTAAGGACAAGGAAAAATATTTATTGGAACATAAAAAAACTCTAGAAAAATCTATTTTGAGAGAAAAAGAAGAATCAAAGGAAAGCTAGGACCTTTGCTTGGGCTAGATGGAAGCTGTAAGTGACAATAGAGAGCAAGCAAAGATACTTAATCCTTCTTTTGATTCTGTTTTTTCTTTGCCAAGGAGAGTGGTCTTTGTACTAGACATAACAGACTATGGCTGACTGAGATGAGTAAGAAGATAGAGAGCACCTTGATGAACTCATCATCTGCCCCAGATGGACTCCATTCTTGGGTACTGAAAGAACTAGTACATGGGATTGTTGAATTACTATCACTGATGTTTGAATGATCATGGAAAATGGGAGAACCACCGCAAGACTGGAGAAGGGCAAACGTACTGCTTAGTCTTTTAAAAAAGAGAGGAGAAGAGCATCTGTAATCCATAGGCCAGTTTGATTTTGATTCCCGGGAAAATCTGCGAATAGATCGTTAAAAAAGATGACTGGCGAGTATCTGGAAAAGGAAGCAGTGATTACAAGGCTCCAGAATGACTTCATTAAGAACAAGGTCATGCCAGCCTAAACTTATTTCCTCTTTTGACAAGATTGGTAAACTAAGAGATGAGTGAAATACCAACAATAAAGGTAGACTAGATTTTAGCAAAGATTTCATAAAATACCTCATCTATTTTTGTGGAGAAGATGGACAGATGTGGACTAGACAATAAATAAAGTTAGGTGGATTCAGTTCTGATTGGATGACCAGATTAATAGAGTAGTTGTTAATGGTTCAATGTCAACATGGCAAGAGGTCTCCAGTGGAATACCACAGGGATCTGTAATCGGTTCTGTGTTGATTAACATTTTTTATCAATGACATGGATAGTGGCATAGATGACAGGCAGATGACACAAATATGGGAGAGAGGGTTAACATACTGGGTGATAGAATAAGGATCCCGAAAGATCCTGACAGTCTGGAGAATTGGGCTGAATTTAATAAGATGGAATTTAATAGTGATAAATGTAAAGTACTGTACTTTGGTATAAAAAATCAACTTCACATGCACAAGGTGCGAGAGGCGTAGTTATACAGTGGTTATTCTGAAAAAGATGTGGGGGTTTTAGTGGACTGCGAACTCAGTATGAGACAGCACGGTGAGGTAGGAGCTGCAAAAGCTAATGTAGGGGGCAGCTAGGTGGCACAGTAGATAGAGCACAGGCCCTGGATTCAGGAGGACCTGAGTTCAAATCCAGCCTCAGACACAACACTTACTAGCTGTGTGACCCTGGGCAAGTCACTTAACCCCATTGCCTAACAAACACACACACACACACACACACACACACACACACACACACAAACCCAAACCAACTAAAGTAATCCTGGGCTACATTAAAAGAAGCATAGCTTCCAGGAATCAGGAGATGACAGTCTCACCAATCTCTGCCCTTGTCAGACCTCATCTGGGGTATTGTGTTCAGTTATGGATGCCATAGTCTCAAGAAGTGTCCAAAGGAGAACAACCCTAATGGAGAATGACCTACAGTCCCTGCCATTTGAGTATGAGTTGAAGGAATTAGAGATGTTCAGCATAACAGTAATAATAGCTAGCATTTATATAGTTCCTACTCCATGCTAGTCACCTTGCTAAGTGCTTTACATATATCTCATTTGATGCAACAACCCTGGGAGGCAGGTACTGTCATTATCCCTATTTTATGTTTGAGGAACTGAGGCAAACAGGAGTTAGGTGACTTGCCCAGTGTTTGAGAGCCAGTAAGTGTCTGAGGCCAGATTTGAATTCAGGCCTTTCTGACTCCAGGCTCAGCATTTAATCCGCTGTGTTACACCCAGTTTAGAGAGAAGACTCTTGAGGGAAATGATGACTGTCTTCAGGTATTGACATGGAAGAGAGATTAGATTTGTTCTGTTTGATTCTAGAGAGGGGAACTAGAAGAAATGCATAGGAGTGGCAAAGAAATCAATTTAGGCTAAGTGTTAGGGGAAAAAACCAACAACTTCCCAACAAAAGACATACCAAGGGAATAGTGGGATTAGCTGTTTTGAAAGGTGGTGGCTTCTCTCCTTGTTGCGTTGTGTAGTTTTGTTGTTTCAGTTGCGTCTGACCCTTTTGACCCAAGTTGGGGTTTTCTTGACAAGGATACCGGAGTGGTTTGCCATTTCCTTCTCCAGCTCATTTTACAGATGAGGAATCGGAGGCAAAGAGAGTTAAGTGATTTGCCTAGGGTCACACAGCTAGTGAGTATCATGTGTCTGAGGTGAGATTTGAACTCAGCTCCTCCTGACTGCAGGGCTGGTGCTGTATCCACTACCCCACCCTAGCTGCCCTGGATAAACATTTATTAAGCAACTGCTGGTTGTAGGGCAATGGAGATGTAGGAGGTTTTGAGAACTCCTTTTCCTCCTTCTCCTTTTTCTAATTCTAATTCTAATTTTTCTTCTAATTCTTCTTCAAAATCATCCTAAAGTAGTGTGCATAAAGCTGTCCTTGGACTCTGGAGGATCTGGGTTCAAGTCCTGCCTCATACACATACCAGCTAAGTGATCCTGGGCAACTCATTTCAGCTTTCAGTGTGCCCAGTGACTCTCTAAACTTATAAGTAATAGGAAAAAAAGTAATTTCTGATCCGCATCATTGGACAGGTTTTCCCCACTAGGAGTTCTCTACCTTACTGAACTCACAAGTCTGGACAAAACCCAAAGATAATAGCTGACATTTCTATAGCACTTCCCACACACTGTTTTCTCTGACGCTCACAGTGTCTCTGTAAAGAAGGTAGGGCAAATATTTTTACTGTCATCCTATTAATGAGAAAAGTGAGGGTCAGAGAGGTGCCCCAGGTTCCACAGCTAATAAGTGGCAAAGCTAGACCTTGAGCCCAACCCACTACACTGTTGCCTTCGGCTTGAAAATTAGGCAAGTTTTATGATGCCACTTGTCCAGGGAGCCTTCCCCCTGTCTGCGTGGAGGGGGCCTATCATCTCTGCTTTGCCTGCTTATTCTTGACATTGGTGAGACAGACGAGGGAAAGGATGAGCTGTCACTGTTGTCTAGATGCCTCACAACTGCCTGTCCTCTGTCTGCTTTCTCGGACCCACCTGGGATGCCATCTCGGGCTGTAATTATAGTTCCATCATTGCTCTTCCATAAGAACATCTGCTATCTGAGGAGGTCCCTCGGCCCCTTTCCCCCTATTCCTTTAGAGAGCTGGAAGGCTCCTGATGACGCCATCTGCTCCCCCAGCATCCCCCTTGGTGGAGCAGTACTCAGCTGTCCCTTGCACATTCTCATCTCTTTTCCCCTCCGTCTTTATTTTCCTTTCCATCAGCCTCTTCATTACATTAGAAATCTCCCTCATCTACTTATCAAATCAATATCTCGCCTGCCTGCCTCACACCGCCCCCCCATATTCCTGCTTCATGTGTCTCTTACAAGAGGCCAGTGCCGCTCCTCCTCTCTCCTGCAATTAGAATTCCTTTCTCAGTTCACGTCTAAATTCTTTGTTCTTCTCCCTGAACACTCCAAGTTAATTTCTGCCGCCTGTTTATTCAGCTTTTGTACTGTGTGGCTTTCTACTTACTAAGGAAACGCAGCCCTTGGGGGGAGAACCATGGTGACTGCATAGGAACAGTGTAGGGCAGGAGCAGAGGGCACTTTAGGGAGAGTGAAAAGACACACAAATTCTGACAGACTACCCAGGAATTGGGGAAGGGGGTATATAGCCTCTCTGTCACACTCCCAGGAGGCAATGGAGCTCATGCCCAAGGGATGACTTATGTATTATTTGCCTGTTTCCAAATGGGAGAGAGGGTATAACTTCTCTTTGCAGAAATGAAAGTCCTTGCATCATGGCATAGTCTGCTGGAGGCTTTGGGAGAAGGATCATCAAATTTAGATTAAGAGCTACAAATTACCTTAGAAGACATTTAGTCCTGTCATTTTCCAGATGGAGAAACTAAGGCCCAGAGCATTTAAGGGACTTATCTAAGGCTTCACAGGTAGTAAATATTAGAGCTATATTGAGGAACTAGGTTCTCTGAAGACAAAGTCAAGCTCTTTCCACTTTAACAAATTGCCTCTCTATGTCATCGGACCTTCCCTAAGAATCTTTTTTTTTTCCCTTTTGGTGAGGCAGTTGGGGTTAAGTGACTTGCCCACAGTCATACAGCTAGTGAGTGTTATGTGTCTGAATCCGGATTTGAACTCAGGTCCTCCAGACTCCAGGTCCGATGCTCTCTCCACTTCACCACTTAGCTGCGCGCTCCCCCCCCAAGAATATTTAAAAACAAGAGAAGTGCTTCCCACCCTCAGGAGCTGATTGTTAAATTTTCAGTGTGAACGTTTATACTTCAGAAGTCAGCAAACATTACAAATCGAGGCTTGCTTTATTGTTTTGTTGATCATTTAAACTTAAGAAAGTGATGGAGAAAATGTTAATAATGCAGATTAAGCTTAAAAGTGTGTTATGCAGTACATTTTTTGTTGTTGGAGAGCCAGTTGTTAAACATTATCAGAATGCCCCTGCCTACTTCTAAATTTTGATCAGGCAATGAGGATTGTATTGCCTAGAGGGATGGATGGAACATTGCAATGGAGATGAGTTATACCAGATCTCTGTTTCAGGGAGTAAATCATTTAGAAAGAAAACTAGTTTCTGTAAGTTTTAACCCAAGCTTCTCATGATCAGGGAAACTTCTTATTAGAGTGCCAGAAAACCAAAGGTTCTACAATTCAATTTGAATGCTTGAGGATGATAATTCAGCTGGGTGTTGCTTGTAGCTCCAGAGAAATCCTAGGTCTTCCACACCAAGGAAGGCTCTTATTGGTCAAATGGCAAGAATCTAGCTCAGTGGCTTGTTAGCTGTTTGACCTTGGACAAGTCACTTCCTTTCTCTGAGCCTTGGCTCGCTCTCTCCCACCAAAGGACGACTTTACCTGATGATTAGGTAGTATTGGAGGTTGAACTGGTTAGAGAGAGATAGGTTTCCCCTAATTAATCCAGTGTGCCTTAAATAAATCCTGAAGCCTTGATTACATTTCCTCTATAGTATGGCAAAATGGAAAGAATGGAGGGAAAAGCACTTGAATTATTGTTCTCATTCTGCCACTAACTACTCATTTAACCCCCACTGAAGCCTAGTTTCCTAATCTGCACACATACAATTCTTTTCATCCTCATCTCATAGTCTCATACATTCCTCAAGAGTAGGAACATGGTGGGGTAACTAAGTGATGCATTGGATAGAACATTGGGCCTGGAGTCAGGAGGACCTGCGTTCAAATCTGTCCTTATACACTTAATAGCTGTGTGACCCTGGGCAAGTCATTTAACCCTAATTGCCTCAACAAAAAAAAAGAAAAGAAAGAAAAGAGTAGGACCATGGCTTTTTCATTTTTGTATCCTATAAGAGCCTCACATAGGGTAGGAACTCAGTAGATGTTTGTTGATGTATGAATGAATTGGATGAATAAATCTGCTAAGAGCAGGGATTGCAGTAGATGAACTGGCCTGCACCATTTTAGGAGCTCCTGCCTCCATCCATAGACTTATCTCTTCTGCACATGAATCTGGAAGGGCTGGGTCTTGAGGGACTTTGCAAAAGCATGTGGCTAAAACCTGGCATGTAATAAATCAGACAGGAAGTCTCCCCACAGAGATCCTCCCCCATATATCATTTTTGTTTTCCTCTTGGGAAGAACAACTCTCCTACTGTGATAGCCCAAATGTATATGTTTCAGAGCTCTATTTATATATATCCATATGGATAAATATATATAAATAGGACTCTGGGATAATAGATTAAGGGATCTGCTCATCCATAAAAGACTTATGGGGCTTTTAGGACCTAATGATGGTCTGATTTAGAAAGAAAAATGGGTCTTTAGCAAGATGTGGCCAAGAGTTAGATGAACATCTAAAGTGATGGAGAGCCCATTTGGGAATTGGAAGAGTGGAAAGGTGGAAAGGATTGTGTAAATTGAGAAAGGGTTTCTGGTGGAAGGAGCTGTAGGAAGCCACTGGCTTCTGAGTGTGGAGAAAATAGAATGTAGGGAGGTGGGAAAGACTCTAGGGAAATGGATGCAATCACACGCCCTTCTCCTTAGAGCAGCAGTCTCAAGGAGTGTTCTGCCTAGTAATAACAACTCACATTTACATAGCATTTTAAATTTTACATAGCACTTTACTCACAACAAGCCTCCAAAATAGTGTATTAGCTTCCCCATTTTGCAGATGAGGAAATAGAGACTTTGAGAAGGTCTAACCCATATTTCCACACAGCTAGTAAATGTCTGAAGTTGTGTTTGAATCCAGGTCCCTTTACTCTAAGGCAAGCAGTCTGTCCATTACATCAGACTGCTTTTGCATACAGCCTTCTTAATGCTCATGGTTCTCCACCTGTAGAGGGTAGGTACTCCATATGTGTCCTGACATCTCCAGAGAAGCATATAAGAAGATCTGTGATTACATTTTCAAGGATGGCACAATGGGTAAAGTACCCAGCCTGGAGTCAGGAAGATCTGAGTTTAAATCTGGCCTCTGTTACTTACTAGCTGTGTGACCCTGGGCAAGTCACTTAACCCTGTTTGCCTCAGTTTCCTCATCTGTAAAATGATCTGGAGAAGGAAATGACAAACCACTCCAGTATCTCTGCCAAGAAAATCCTAAATGGGGTCATGAAGAGTGGGACATGACTGAAACAACCGAACATGAACAAGGATGGCATATCCCACTTGTAGCTATTCTGATTGTTGCTGTTATTCATCCTTCATTCTTGAAGAGGACCATTGACATCATGAGGGGGGTAATGTCTTGACCTGCTTATAATTTGAATTTAAGTGAGGCAGAGTTGCATGAAGTCATCAGCCTCACTCTCTCCTCCAGAGTCAATGAAGTCCAATGGCAAGACAAAAGTCAAGATGCCTGTCGATGGCCTGGAACTGGTGGATGACCTTGGCCTTTCACTGGATTTAGGAAATAGATCAAGTTTCCCCTACCAAGGGAGTTGAGACTTTGACCTTGGAAGATGAGGGTCTATGTAGTCCTGGATGGGTAAGTTTTTAACCTGAGCCTCAGTTTTCTCATCTGTAAGATAAGGAGGTAATAACAATGTCAAATGACAAATCACATATTAAGTGCTTTGCAAATCTGAAAATTCTATATAAATGTCGCATAAAACTACTGTTTGAATACTGGACTAGAGTCTAGGAACACCTAAATTCTTTGTATCCTTATGTCTGTCAATGATACAAAGGCAAAAATACAGGATGCAGAAGGCAAAAAGAGTCAATAACTTATCCCACAGTTGAATAGTATCTTCATATACCCAGGGAGACCTATGATCCCCTTTATAGAAGAGAAGTAAATGACTGAAAGAAGAGGGATGCTTTGGTGGATGTAGTCATGTCTGTGCCCAATGTGGCAGAAGACCCATACAAAGTGAGCACTGTTTCCCATCTGAATGGAGAATTTAGAGAGTTTGTGATTTCTGGATTCCTACACAGAACTGAAAGCAGACTTTGCTCCCCCTCAGGCAGAGTTTCCTAAACCATGGGGTCCAAGCTTCCTCAGTTTCCAAATTGAGGGGCATAAGACCCTCTCAGGGGAAGGGTGAAACCACAGCCAAAATGGTGAGATGTTTTCAATTACCTGTGTGACCTTGAACAAGCTGCTTCATTTCCCTCAGCCTCAGCTTCCTCATGCAGAAAAATGAAGGGATTTGATTAGCTGCCCCCTGTGGTAGGAGTAATATCTACTCCATATGGGCCAGGCTGGTCCCCTCTGCCCAAAGACATTGTAATAGCCTTTGAAAGCTAACTGGGAAGACTGAAGAATGCTAGCCACCTCCCGACAGAGGAGTGATAGAGTAACTATTCAGAATGAGACGAACATTTTTGGATATGGCCAATATGGGAATTTGTTTTGCTTGACTATGCTTATTTATTACAAGGGGTTTGCTTTTATTGGCAGGGGAAGGGGGAGGAGGTGGGAGGTAGAAAAAATAAATCACTAGTATTGTTTTTAATTTAAATAGTATTTTATTTTTCTCCAATTACATATAAATGATTATTTTTTAAAATTTAAAAATTTTCTTTTCTTTTAAAAACGTGATTGGTCTAGGAGAATAAGTTTCAGGCTGCTGACATGCTTTTTTGGTTGCCCAGCATATGAAGATCAAGGATTGATCAGCTCGACAAGTCTGACTGACTGGGCATACCTCCATGGCAAGGGAGCTAAGCCCATCTGAGTCCATGTCATAACCTTGTTGAATAATCTCTTAATGCTATCATTAAGCAAACTTCTTTGTGTTAAATATTAGCTGCTCTATGAGTTAAACCTTGAACCAGCAGGCCAACCTGTGTCAGATCTGGCCCAGAACACATGGCATAGTTGGCAGAATTAGATTGGAAAGAAGTTGGGGAAGGGCAAGGTGGAGGGAAGGGAATCCTGGGTGATTGGATTCCCTAATAAAGGAAGCTTGTGCCTTGTGATTCTATGCCTCTTCCTTGAAACCAGGGACCATTCTACTTTTGTTTTTATATGCTGAGTGCCTAGCCCATAGTAGGCACTTTATTAATATTTGTTGCTTGATTAATTAATGATAGGTCAAGTTGGGGAAGTGAGGCAAGTGGAGCCAGAGCAGGGGTTGATGATCTAAGTTAACCTTCAGGTAGCATGTAGACTTAGCAAAGCACAAATTAATGTTATCTGCATTATATTATTGTATTAAACATTTTCCAATTGTGTTTTTCTTTCTTTCCTGATTTCTTTCTTTTCTAATTCCTTCCTTCTTTCAAATCCATTTATCTAAGCCCATAGCAAAACAGAAATCAGAGAAAGTATACATAGGCAATAGAGAAAATATATGCCAGGCAATACAGAGCGAAGGAGCTCTCCCATTGGGAGCAAGATAACAGAGAGAGAGAGGGAGAGAGAGAGAGAGAGAGACAGAGACAGAGAGAGACAGAGAGAAGAGACAGAGAGAAGAGAGACAGAGAAGAGACAGAGAGGAGAGACAGAAAGAGAGAGAGAGAGTCTGTCCCAAATCTCACCCAAGGGGAAATTCCCCAAAGTCTCTAGTGTAGCAAGCTGGGGTAGGGCCATGATGAACACTGCCAGCTCCTCTCATGTTGACTTCGGGTTCCCAGTCTTATTCTCCCTTCAGCAACCTAAAGTAGAGTTTGGTATTGTTCATCTTCTTGAGGCTAGAAGCCTGAAGCACCTTAAGAGACTTGAGAGTCTTGAAGCAGGTCTGAAAAGAGTAGAGCTTGCTCTGCCCTGTTCTCATCAACTTCATGTGTAATTCCAAAGCCCTCACATAGGCTCAAGGCATTATTGAGTCCACCAATGAGAAGAAAGTCCCATACCAATTGGCTTTGGCACTAGGATACACCATGATACCTCTCTCTCTCTCTCTCTCTCTCTCTCTCTCTCTCTCTCTCTCTCTCTCTCTCTCTCTCTCTCTCTCTCTCTCTGGTGAAGCAATCAGAGTTAAGTGACTTGCCCAGGATCACACAGCTAGTAAGTATCAAGTGTTTAAGGCCTCATTTCAACTCAGGTCCTCCTGATTCCAAGGCCGGAGCTCTATCCACTGTGCCACCTAGCTGCCTCCCACGATATCTCTTATAGTTCTCAACATCATTCATTCAGGTAAATATCATATGTTAAGTTGGTTTTCCTTCATTCCCACCCTACTCCCCCCAAAAAAGTCCTGTTCCAGCCGCACCAGGGGCAGCTTGCGGCCTTTGCTCACCAGTGTGATACTGCCAGGGAATAGCAAGGAAGGGTGGAATTGAAGGTGGTTGTGATGGGTAACAGCAGTTTTAAGAGGAGAGAGAACTAGGGAAAGATGAAATGGTAGGAGGTTATAGCTGGATAAAAGATTCTCGGAATTTTTGATCATGGAAGTGGAGCATTTGTGGGTCATGGTATGATCAAGATTTTGTGTGTGGTTGAGGTGAAGTACAGAAAAGGGCACTGGGGTTGAGAATATTGAGTGACTAGGAGGCCAGTATTTTTTTTTTTTAGGCAATTGGGGTTAAGTGAGTTTGTCCAGGGTCACACACAGCTAGTTAAGTGTCAAGTGTTTGGTCTGACGCCAGATTTGAACTCAGGTCCTCCTGACTTCAGGGCCGGTGCTCTCTCCACTGCGCCACCTAGCTGCCCCCTGAGGCCAGTATTTTTGAAAACAGTATGTTGCCTCTTTAACATAAAAGCAAGGTTGATGGAGAGAAAGGTTATGAACTAGGTATGGAGTTCTTTGGGAAAGAGTCAAGGATGACAGACAAAATCCTTCAAGTCCATACCTCCTTGCCTTTCATTTCAACATAATTATCTTAAAGCTTTATTCATGCCTTTTATCTCTTATGGAAAGTTTCCTATTATTTTCCACCCCAACACACCTTTGCCTTCTTTTCCCTGCTTAGAACTCTCACTTGTAACCGGGAAAAAGAGAGTTAAGCAAAACCCATCAGCAAACCCATTTTCATTTTCTAGATCTCCTTGGTCACAGAGTTTGTCAAATTTCATCATCTCCTCAGGCCTAATCCCTGCCTCTCCTGACCTTTAGTAAATACTGGTTCTTAGTGTGGTCCGGGTGTCAGCCACGTGTGCACCTCATAGGTGATCCCATGAGACAGCCGGGGCAGTGAAGCAAAACAAACAGCCCGCTGCCTTCTCTAGCGCTGCCTCTGGTAAGCCTGCAGGAAGCAGGGTGTCCCTTCGGTAACTAACAGGGGGAGTACAATGGATAATTTGTCTACCATTGGGCACTTTTCTCAAGACAACAGCCACATAGCCCCAAAGGGCCCCAAGCAAAAACAAAAACAAAAACAAAAAACCCTTCCTAAAAGGGTGTGGTATTTCCCCTGGCCATAAGAGGGCAGTTATCCCAGGAACTTCCAAGCTATTCCTCCTCCCACCACCATTGATCGGTGTGTGTTAAGCAACACACAACACACACACACACACACACACACACACACACACACACACAAAATTTTGGTTAGGAAATGAAATGGAATATTACACAAAATATAAAAAAAGGAAATATTTAGCTCTTGAGTCCCTAGTCTTCTGATGAGAAATTACCTGTTCTCTGTTAAACACCCATCACATGCATAGAACACAGGTACTCAATTTATACTAGCATGGTTTATTCAACATATTGAAAATACAAAGAAGCTTGGCAAGCATGCCACCGTGGAGAATTACATCCAGGGGTGTGCTACTAAATGTTTAACAGCTGACTCCCTCCCCCCAACAAAGTGCTCCCTGACACACTTTTAAGTTTAATCTGAATTATTAACATTTTCTCCATCACTTTTTTAAACTTTTTTTTTTGACTTGGCAATGGGGTTAAGTGACTTGCCCAGGGTCATTCAGTAAGGGTCAAGTGTCTGAGGTCACATTTGAACTCAGGTCCTCCTGATTCCAGGGCCAGTACTCTATCCACTAAGCCACCTAGCTTCCCCCTCCATCACTTTTAAAAGTATAGATGATTAACAAAACAGTAAATCAGGCCTTGATTTGTAGATTTTACCAGTTTCTGAGGTGTAAATGCTCACACAGAAAATTTTTTTTTACATTTTTTTTTGGCTAGGCAATGGGGTTAAGTGATTTTGCCCAGGGTCACACAGCTAGTAAGTGTTATGTGTCTGAGGTCGGATTTGAATTCAGGTCCTCCTGAATCCAGGGCTGGTGCTCTATCCACTGTGCCACCTCGCTTCCCCTTCACCCTGAAAATTTAACAATCAGTTTTTGTGCCCTGTTGGGAGGTGGCTCCATCATACTCCTGACATCACCCAGTCTTTTTCCAAAGCCTTCTCCCACTTGCCCTCTCAGCTTTGCTTTTGGAGTAGGAGATGGTTAGTTCCAAAGCACTGACTTGACTACAGGCTTTGGGAAAAATCAAAGGAAGGGGATTTCATGTCTGGACCCTCACCAACTTTATAAGCAAAGGAGGAACAGGGGAAATGTATGGAGCCCGACTGCTTTCTATTCCTCACCAGCCTGGCCAGTAATCCAAATTTGCCTCTCTATGCTGATCCCCAATTGTCTACTCTTCAGGCCTGGCTCACTCTAATAATAATGATGTTGATGATAATAGCTAGCATTTACACAGTGTCTACTATGTGTCAGGCACTGTGCTAAGTGCTTTACAAATATTTTCCCATTTGATCATCACAACAACCCTGAAAGAGAGGCACTATTAGTATCCCCATTTCCCAGTTGAGGACATTGAGGCAAACAGGTCAAGTGACTTGTCCAAGGTCACACAGCTAGTAAGTATCTGAGGATGGATTTGAATTCAGGTCTTCCTGACTCTAGGCCCAGAGCTCTAACTAGCTTACTGCTGTTCCTATGCTCCACGATACCAGAGATTTGGGGAATTGATATAATTGGTTCCTCTTCTTTTGGTCTCAACCAGCTAAAGACAAGAGTTTTGAACCTTGGGAACCATGGCGATGTAGGGAGCCATACCTAATTGGCCAGATGTTAAGCAGGGAGCCTCAGTGTCCCTGACAAGCCTATGTTCCTTGCATCCCTTAAGGCAGAATAGGAGTCTCCCTCAAAAGCAAAGGAAAGTGTGGTGGAAGTAATCAGGTTCTTCTCCACGCCCTTCACTCTACTTAACTGGAGCATTTCCTATGGAGCTAAGCATATGCTCTGGCCCCTTACCTCCAGCTTGGGCCTCATGACTCCCTGTGACTGGTGGTTGTGTTGAAGATGCTTGGCAGCTGAGCCAGGAAGAACTTCCCCCATAGTGGCTACAAGAATTGTCGATCAGCTCTGTTTCCCATTCTTTGGGTCCTACTTGGTTTGGTCCATAGCTCTTCCTGTGATTTCCAGTGGGGGGAGGGGGCAGAGAGGGGAGTTCCCTTCCCCTCTCTTCAGCATCTATGGCGGCTATGAAGTGCACAGCAGTGAGAACACGTGCTTTCCTGCCTAGGTGAACCCCAATCTAGTCTTCACGTCCCTTCTTGCCTCTTCTGTTTTGTGTTTCCTTCCTTGAGTCCAGGTTGCAAACAGAGATTCTGAAAAATGAGACATTTCCAGCCCTGGTGGTCATCTTACGAGTTGGAGAAGCTGGGTCAGCTGTTCAGTGGGAGGTATTTGCTATAACCACACTTCTTGGAGGAAAAAAAGATGCTCTACTGCCCCCAGAAACCACTGGAAAGATGCTGTGGTTGAAAGGGCTAAGAATATCCATGCCATACCCTGGGTGGCCTGGAGGTCTGGGCTCTGTGAGTGACTCAGGGAGGTGGTTCTAATATGAAAGCTCTGCCTCCTACTTTTTGGGTCCTCCTGGTGTCTTTATCCCTTCAGTGGTCCCATGGAGTATCTTACCTTCTGAAAGAACATAATAGGTAATGGGTTATTGCTGCATCTTTTAAGTATGCATCCATACATGCATATGGATTTTTAAAAATTTATTTTCTTTGCAAGGCAGTTGGGGTTAAGTGACTCACCCGGGTCTCATAGCTACTAAGTGTCGAGTATCTGAGGTCACATTTGAACTCCTGTCCTCCTGACTCCAGGGCCAGTGCTGTATCAACTGTACCACCTAGCTACTCCCATGCATATACATTTTTATTTTTAAGCTTTTGTTTTTGTGGTGAAGAAAATAAGTAGCTCTTCTATCCCCAATATCTACTCAAGTCACCAGCCAAGTGACCCTGTCAGAGTTGCTCTAGTTCCTGCTTGGAAAAACAAACAAACAAATAAAAAAAAAACCCTTCCTAAAAGGCTAAACTGATCAGCAAACATATTTTCTATATGTTTTGCATGACTGCACTTGTATAATCTATATCAAACTGTTTGCCTTCTTAAGAAGGTGCCGGGAGGAAAAGAGGGAGGAAATGTGCAACTCAAAAATTGGTAAAAAAAAAAAAAGAGTGTTAAACATTTTTACATGTAATTGAGAAAAATAAAATAAAAACATTCTTTAAAAAAACAATTAAAAAAAAGCTGAACACTTTTTTAGAAGGAACCTTACTAATTCTTTTTAGGGGAGATCCTAGATATGAATCATACGTAAGGTTTTTTTGTTTGTTTTTTTGTTTGTTTTTTTGGTTTTTTTTTTGTTTTTGTGAGACAATTGGGGTTAAATGACTTGCCCAGGGTCACACAGCTAGTGAAAGTCAAGTGTCTGAGGCTGGATTTGAACTCAGGTCCTCCTGACTCAGGTGCTGTATCCACTGTGCTACCTAGCTGCCCTCATAGCTAAGTTTTAAAACAAGATTTCCCTTGGAATATGGGGGATAACAAGCCAGAGAGTGTCAGAAAAAAAGCCTAATTCTCACTTTTTGGTGTCAGGGTCCCCCAGGACTAAACTGTTCATGTTGAGTCTGGAGTAGGGGTCTCTTATGGGAGAGTGCACCTCGAGACCACCAGTGACAGAAGGAAGAAGGAGCTCTTGTTACCCTCTTTCAATTGTCTTGATAGTGTGCTGCCTGACGAGGCCTGCCTTCCTGTTCTCTCACAGGCCTATTTCAAGTTTACATTCCCCTCAACCTCAGTGAGAGGAGAAGGACATGGTGATTTTTCTGCTTCCCGAATGACTATCACCCTTCACCTTGTGGTAAGTTAAAGGGCAGAGTGTGTAGGTGATGACTGAATCCACTCCCCGTACCCCAGGCCTGTCACCTGAAATCTCTGCAGAATGATTTGAGGTATCCTTGAACAGATGCAAATATACATTATAAGCATCGTAATAAGCATCAACATTCAATGCATCTAGGGTAATTATCCCAACATCACAGGTAATCATCCCCTGGTACCATTTACATCATATCCACATTAATGTTACATGCAGTAAAAATAACACAAAGCAAAATATCACTTGACAGCTTCCTTCAAGGAAGAGACTTTGAAATTACATACTTCACATATCACACACATGTGTAATGATGCCACATGCTTACCCTTAATACTTAAGCAAATAAGCATAAAACTGAAAAAAAAGAAAGAAAAAGAAAGAAAAGGAAAGATAAAAAAAAGGGGGGAAAAAAGGCAATCCTCTCTCCAACAAATGCATAGCTATTAGACCTTTATGGGGTATTCCAAAAGTCTTAATGCAGTTTGAAGTTTTAAGAATGTCAAACTGCACTAGGGACACTCTGTTGTACAACACTAACAATATATGCATAGCAGTAAGGCATAAGGAAGTAAACGTTACCAGCAAAAAAAAAAATTGAATAGAAAAATAAGCAATGGTTATTATTGGTTGTTTGTTTTTGAAATTTAAAAAAATTTGAACTTAACAAATACCAAATAAAATCAACCTTTCTATGGAAATAATAGAATAGAAAAAGAGAACTGTCCATGAAACTAGAGATGTCTTTCATGCACAACTTTGGTTACTGCTTTTTAATACACACACACACACACACACACACACACATATATATACATCTATCTGCCTATGGCTGTCTGTCTATCTATCTATCTATCTATCTATCTATCTATCTATCTATCTATCTGTCTGTCCATCTGTCTATCTAGCTATAGATATCTGTCTATGGCTATCTATCTATTTCTATCTGTCTATCTCTATGTGTGTATATGTCATCTCTCTTTACGTATCTATGTATCTGTCTGCATCTATCTATCTATCTATCTATCTATCTATCTATCTATCTATCTATCATCTATCTATCTATTTATCCATCTGTCTGTCTATATCTATCTATCACTATCTTATCTGTCTGTCTATAGTTATCTGTCTGTGGCTATCTTTATCTATCTATCTATCTACCCATCTATCTGTCTGTCTGTATTTCTATGGTTATTTTATCCTTTGCTCTTTCTTCCTTCTTTTGCCCTCCCCCACTGAGAAAAAGGCGGGGAAAGGAAAAACAAAGCCCTTGTAATCAATAACATGCAATAGTATTTGACAAATGCCTCAACATATAACAACATACGTATTTATATCCAAAGTATACATTACATGGATAAACATTAGCGCCGTTATCTGGCATTATAAATAACTAGTTCTCCTACAACATCTGAAGTCAGTTTGTTACCTAGTCAGATGGCTCTAGCTCTTTTGCGACCCACCATCTTTTCTACATCTGTATCTGAGCAGACTGACAGTAGAGGCTGATTGCCAGAATCCTGAGGTCCATAGGCCTGCATTCCCAAACGTGATCCTATGTATGGTCCAGGCTGATTATCAACATTCTTAACACTGAGTGGATTGTATCTGAATTCTAGGGCTCTGTCTCTAGGCTCAAATTCTCCCAAGCTGTCTGAATCTGAGGCAGTCAGAGGGTAAGAGTACCCAGTGCCATCCTCCCTGGAAATATCACCTTCTGAGTTATTATCTTCCTCAAACAGACTCTTTACCTTGGTGGATGATGCTTCTCCTTGGCCATTTAGCTGCCTGTCCATTACTTCTTTCCTCCTGCTCCCCAAGGAGGCTAGCTCCACTATGGGGAGTTAAAGACAGGGTCCCACCACTCCCTGGAGCTACTTTTTAAACAGGTAGGTTGCCCACTTTATCACCCACTACCTGTGTGATCTTGGACAGGTTATGTCCAAGCCCTTTTGACTTCGGTACCTTCATCTGTAAAATGAAGCAGTAAGACTAGATGGCTTCTAAGGTGTGCCCCCCGCCCCCAGTTCTAAATCTATGACACTTGTCCTACTTGGTATAATAATAATAGTAGCTAGCATTTACATACACTTACTATGTACTGGTACTATGCTAAAAACTTTTACAAGTATTTCATTTGATTCTCATAACAACCCTGGGAGGTATGTATTATTAGCATTCTCATTTTACAGGTAAGGAAACTGAGGCAGACAGAGATTAAGTGACTTGCCCAAGGTCACATAGCTGGTAAGTGTTTGAGACCACCAGATTTGAACTCAGGTCTATCCTTATTCCAGGTCCAGTGCTCCATCCTAGCTGCTTAGCTGGCAAGAAGCAATCAGTCAGCTATCACTGTGTTCCACAACCCTATGGTCTAACAGAGAGAGTATTGCCCTTGGACATAGGAAGACCTGAGTTTGAATCCTGCCACTGGCACTTATTAGCTATGTGACCTTGTGCAGGTCACAATTTCTCTCAGCCTCAGTTTCCTCATCTGTAAAATGGAAATAATAAGAGCACCTACTTCCAAGGTTGTTATGAGGATCAAAAATGAGATGAGTTATGTAAAGCACCTAGATCAATGTTGCTTAGTGTGTCTTTTTGGAACACCAAGCTTTCTTGGGAAGATTCTATCACCTTGTTCGAGTTCTTGGTGGCAAATTCCAGCATCATAGCATTGTTTGTTTCTGTTATAACTCTTCTGAAGTCACAGTTTATGCATAGGCTTCCTTTAGTTGATTTTTCAACAGAGAAATGTACTGGTCATGAATATCTGCATCTTCTCCATCTTCTGAATCTCCAAAGCATGTGTCAGTAAGTTTCTCTCTCTATACTTCTCAAAGCTAGTACTTTGATCTCCATTTTTCAAATTTTATTTGAACTTGTATTTAGCAAATTAATAATGCAAAAGCAAATAGCCAAATATACAGGAATATGCAATAAATAAAAGCCGTGAAACAGATATGCAAATGTAATCAACAATATATAGAACAACTGTGAAGCAACATACCTAGAACTTTACAGATGCAGATAGAAATGACTGAACAATACACACAAATAATTAGCATATGAAAGGAAAGTAATATCCAGGAGGTCAAGGCTATATGCAAATGAATAGCAACTTTATCAATAGCACTAACTCAGTGTATTAATAACCAATGGCATTTGCAAGCCCAATGTATTTGGAAATACAGTGGATCAGTTATGACAGAAGAAAAATGCCATGGAGGTAGGGGGCAGGAAATGAAATTAAAAACAAGAAAGGAAAAAAAAAGGAGTTGGAAGGAAACATATGCTGTAAGGAAACAAGAAAGTATTTTAAAATTAGAATCTGAAAGGAAAATATATACATACATATACATTTTTTTTTCATACGGATAGAAAAGGAGAAGTAAAATTCAGCTGGAAACGAAATAACCTTCAACTCAAAATTCAAAGACATCAAAAGGGGAAAAAATTCTGAAGTGAGTGTCCCCAAATATGATTCCTGTGTGTCATTGAAACTGACCTGTTCCAAAGAGAAAAAAAAAATCAAACAAACAAATCAAAATATCAACAACACAAACCAGAATACCCTCAATAAAAAACCTAAGTGTGATGAATGTGAAGGCTGTGTTTGCACTTAGGGATATCCCATGTTAAACTTAGGACAAACTGTCCATACTGGCTTGTGTGCTGTCCTACTCAAGTCTACTGGAAGGCTGGGTATCATTTTAAAGTGAGGAAGTATAATATATACTATTTCCACTAGATGGTGCTAGACTCAAGTCACTAGATCAGTGGTCTCTTCAAGGTCTCTATGATGCATGCACAAGATCCTCTCTTTTCTCCCTTTATCACTCTCCTCCCCCAACAATAATTTCAAATGGCTGGAAAAGTAACATGCCTACACTGGCCACATTCTGAATTTTAACTGAAGGGTTGGTATAAAAATTACTTAGGATTATTAAAATGGGGAAGAGGGGAGAAAAATCTATGGTTCTAGCACCCTTCTCTCTCAAACGCCAAGGAAAAGGGTGGAGAGGGGTGGGAATATCTCATTTCCCTTTCCCTATTAATTGACTTTTTGTTTCAGAGTCAGTACTAACTCCTAGTCCACTCATGTGGCTTCTTGCCTATTTCAAGGTTGCATTCCCTTCAAGGGAGGGGCAAGCACATCAATATCTCTACTCCCCAAATTATCATTACTCCAGGCCCTAGGGTAAATAACAATCCAAAGATTAGCATCCATGGCATGAGCCTCAGATATACCAATAAGTACTGGTTGACTTGGTAGTGTGATATGGAAGAATAGTAAGGTACGGTGGGAAGGTTCGGATTTGGATTCAGAGGATTTAGGTTTAAATCTCAGTTCTGCAACTTACTTACCTGGGGAACCTGGGATCAGGCATTTCCCTAGGAACTGTCTTCTGAGCCATCTAGGTGGTGCAATGTATGGAGCTCTGGACCTAGAGTGTCAGGAAAACCTGAGTGCAAATCCAGCCTTAGACATTTAGCTATGTGAGCCTGAGCAAAGCATTAAGCTCTGTCTGTCTCAGTTTGTTCAACTGTAAAATAGGGGATAATAATAACAACACCTACTTTGTAGGGTTGTTGTGAGGATAAAATGAGATAGCATTTGTAAAAAGCGCTTAGCATAGTGTCTGATACATAGTATGACCTATTTCAATTGTTTTTCAGTCATGTCTGATTCTTCATGACCCTATTTGGGGTTTTCTTGGCAAAGATACTGGAGTGGTTTGCCATTTCCTTCTCCAGCTCATTTTACAGATGGGGAAACTGAGGCAAACAGGGTTAAGTGACTTGCCTAGGGTCACACAGCTAGGAAATATCTGAGGCCAGATTTGAACTCAGGAAGATGAGTCTTCCTGACTTCAGGCCTGGCACTCTGTGCACTATAATGCCACCTAACTGCCCCAGTGTGCGTTGCATAAATAAATGCTTATCCCATTCCAATTGTAAAATGGGAATAATGATAACACCTACCTCCCAGAATTGATGTGAGCTTCAAATGAGATAACATTTGTAAAAGGCACTTAGCACATAGCCCAGCACATACTAGGTACTTAAAAATGCTTATCTCCTTCCTTCCTTAATAAAATGAGGAGGTGGGAATAGATGATTCCTAAGGTCCTTTCTAATTTTAAATCTGATGATCACATCCAACTAATTGCTCCTTACTCTGCCCCATACTTCCTTTCTGCAAAAATGAAGGGTAAGTATTTGATATTACAAGTGAACATTTACTTTACAAAAGGATTCACTTGTTTTCCCCCTTAAATAGGAGCTTCCCTAGTCATAACTCTTGACATTATTACTAACCCCTAACCTCTTGAACTATGTACCAGAAAGGAGAACAGAAAAAGCAGAAGCTAGAACTAGAAGGGCAGCTAGCTAGGTGATGCAGTAGATAGAGCACTGGGCCTGGAGTCAGGAAGATTCATCCTCCTGAGCTCAAGTCCAGCCTCAGGCACTTCCTAGCTGTATGACCCTGAGCAAGTCACTTAACCTTTTTTTGCCTCAGTTTCCTCATCTGTAAACCGAGCTGGAGAAGAAAATGGCAAACCACTCCAGTATCTTTGCTAAGAAAACTCCAAATGGGGTCACAAAGAGTTGGACACAACTGAAAATGGCTGAACAACAAGAAGAGTTAGAAGACTTGGAAAATTGAAGGTCAATCAGAAATGAAGAGAATAATAGTATTTGGAGCTGGACATTGTCATGTCCGAATCATTCATTAAAAAAAAATGTTAAAATTGACTTCTGACTTCCTTTTAATTTATTTTGCTTATTTCTTTGTTAGTTTTCATTGCTGTATTTTTGTTTTCACATCATTTCCAAATAGATCCCCACCCTATCCTCTCCCCAACAAGCTATTCTCTGTAGAAAAAAAAAGTTAAAGAAATAGAAAAGGGTGGGGAAGCAACCCAGCACAACCAACCAATTAACTGAATCTGACAGTATAGGCCAGGTTCAACACTCATAAACCCCCAACTTTCCAGGAAAGTTCTATTGCATAAAGTGAGACCGCTTAACAAAATAAACAAAACCGAGGTCTTAATTCCTTTCCCAGAATACCATTACCAATCCCTCTGCAGCTAGTTCCTTCTCTCTCCCCCTTCACCACTCCTTCCCATCAAGTGATTGTAATTCCTCTTCATATATTTTGTATTTATATTTTATGTTTCCTCATCTGTAAAATGGCAGCAATAATAGCCCTCGTGGGTCTATCGTGAGGATCTAATGCTTATGAAGCATTTTGCAAACCTTAAAGGGCTATGTAAATGCTAGCAATTAGCTATTTATTGATCTGTGTACGTTGTCCCTCACATTTAGAATGTAAGCTGTTTGAGGGTGGGACTATATAATTTTGTCTCTGCAGCCCCAATCCCTAGAACATAGTAGGAATTTAAGAAATGCTTGTTGATTGGTTGAGTGATTGATTGGGAGCAAGGCTATTTGCAAGGCTGATTTAGCATTTCTATCCAACTTCATAGTATGCCAACTGCTATTCTCATCTTTTCAGTGGTTATTTGCCAGAGCAGACTCATCCATCATGAGTGTCATTAACCTTCTACCCTTAATGACTCCTTAAGCCTCTCCTCCCTACCTTATCTTTGACTGATTACTTTTTGGCAGCTGCTTTCCACCTCCTTTGTTCTTTCCCCCTTCCATGTAACTCTCCTTATGTAGGCAGACCAACAAGAAATAAGACACAAAGGCCAGAAGGAAACCCATCTGGATTTCACTCATTTCTTACTCTTAGGTTGTAAACTCTTAGAGAGCAAGGGAATCTTTTAAATGTAATCCCTGTATTGCATACATGAAGAGAGGGAGTGTGGCATAGTAGACAGAGTCCTGGACTTAGAGTCATGGAGACCCTGGGTCTGAGCTCACTTTTAACACTTATTAGCTGTGAGATGAAGTTTGGACCTGACACAACTCGTTAAGATCCCAAGTTACAAATGGATTGTCATCTGCCTGGGAAGAGGGAGTTGCTCTCCTGAATTTCCCTCATGATTGAAACCACAATTCCTTGATGTATGGATCTGTGATGGATAAAACCAGAAATGGAGGTGGGCCAGTCAAGCAGCAGTAAGGAAGAAACTGGTGGCTGGTCCACGTGTCGTTAGTATTCAGAAATTCTTAAAATTAAGAGATCTCAGTATAGGGATTCTTAACCCTAGGATCTATGAACTTGTTTCTTATTTTGTGGGTTTTAAAAAATATATATGTTAATGACTGTATTCAATATAATTGGTTTCCTTTATAATTTTATCATTTGGTTTCCTTTATAATCTAACGTATTTTATAGTACGCATTGAAAGGGATCTGTAGGTTTCGCCAGAGTGCGTAAGGTGTCTGTGGCACAAAAAAGGTTAAGAACCTGTGGTTTAGAGGAAGTCTACCAGAATGTGGAGTCATCCCCCTGTATGGGAAGTGCACAGGGTGAGGAGGCAAGAATAGGCTGCAATCTCTCTCTCTCTCTCTCCCTCTCTCTCCCTCTCTCTTTGCCTCTCTCTCTCTCTCTCCCTCCCTCCCTCCCTTCTTCCCTCCCTCTCTTTCTCTCTCTCCCTCCCTCCCTTTCTCTCTCCCTCTCTCCCTCTCCCCTCTCTCCCTCTCTCTTTCTCTTTTTCTCTCTCCCTCTCCCTCTTTCCTTCTTTCATTTTCTCTCTTTCATTCTCTCTCTCCCCTTCCTTATCCTTCTACCCCTCTCTCCTCTTACTTTTTCCCTCTCCCCTCCCTTCAAAGTTCAAATCTAGCTTCAGATACTATCTTTGTGACCCTGGGAAAAACCACTTAAGCTCCATCTGCCTCAGTTTCCTTGATTGTAAAATAGGGATGATAATAATAACACCTACCTCATAGGGTTGTTGTGAGGATCAAGTGAGATAATCAATTTATGAAGCACTTAACACAGTTCCTGGCACATAGCAGATGCTTAGTAAATGCTTATTCCCTTCCCTCCTTCTTTACTTTTCTCCCTCCCCTCCCTCTCCTTCTCTTCCCTCACTTCCCCTGCTTTCCTTTCCTTTCCCCTCCCTTCTCTTCTTCTGTCCTCCCCTCTTCTCTCTCTCTCATCAACAACAGCCATTTATTAAGAGCGTACTATATGCCTAGCACTGTGCTAGACGCTGGAAACATTGGGACACACATTTATCTTCTGCCAGGGTCGTGTTCTGGTACTTACTTGGGACATGGAGGTATTCCTGGGTTCTGGAAGGCTCTATGAGGAGAGCTTGGGCCCTAGCAGGTCTTACTTCAAGCTTCAAGCACAGGTCTATCAGTACAGTATCCTTCAAGGACCAATCTAGCTATGTTCATGGGGCCTCACCGCATCATGAAGTTGATCATAGGACATTTAACCAAACATTTCCTAGGCTACAGAGGGTCACTCTGTCTATCCCTAAATGGAGTATGCACAAATGCAGGAGTTCTCAGTCTAGGGTATATGGACCTCTATGGGCATGAGAAGCTTAGCAATGGGGTATGGAGAATATTGGTTAAAACCTCACTATCCTATTGAAATATTCCTAAAGTTAATGTGAGTGAAATAATGTCATGAGCAGTATAAAGTCTTCTTTATGAAAAATTAACTGATCTCTTTAGACATTTTATTTCTCAGGCGTACATACCTGGTAAAGTCTAGAATTTAAGCCCTTTCATAATGAATAGGGAATATGGAAAGGTTGACTGAAAACTGAGTGCCACTGGGACTCAGAGAAGCTGAGAATACATGCATGAATGAAAGCATGGATCCTTAAAGAATTGAAATATAGCTAGACATGGTGTCACAATCTGTAATCCCTACTGCTGGGTGAAGCTGAGGTTGGTAGATCCCCTCAGTTCAGCCGTTATAAGCTGTAGTAAGACTAATGTTGATCAGGTGTCTGCAATGAGCCCAGCATCACTAGGATGGACCTGTGGAAGCATGTGACTGCCAGGTTACCTAAGGAGGGGTGACCTGGCCTAGGTCCAAAATGGAGCAGGCCAAAGTTTCAGCACTGAAACTGTTGTGATTGATCACTGCACTTCTAGCCTGGTCTGGGGGAAAAGATTGAACTATAACATACATTCCTCTTTATGTATAGATACAGTATGGTTGAAATCCATCAATAAGCTACTGCCCATTGGTGGCCAACAAATCTGTAACTTGTACTTATGTTGACACTTCTGTTCTCAGACTCAGTGGGCTGTTTATTTAACTGCTGGATGATGTCCAAATAAGGGTTCTTACTGTATCAATAGTATGCTTTCCCTTTGGGGAAGAAAAAGCAAAGACCCATACAATTCATCACTCTTTTACATTTACAACATGGGTCTGCTGTGTTAACAGGCCCTAATAAGGACAGTAGCCATCAGCTAAATGAATAATTAGGTTGTAGAAAGAAGTGTCCAAATGAGCTAATGATGAATTTAATAATGCTGATCATGCGCCATGTCCCTGCAACCTTTATATGTGAGCCCATAGATAGGTTATGGTTAAACTCTGTCTATTAGTCAATGTCCAGTAAGGATCATCAAACTGAATGTTTTCAAATAAATCAGTTCAATAAATTATCAAGTTGAGGGACCCTCCCCAATATTTGCTTTTAAATCTTTTAGAGGAGACCCGGGGAAATTCAACTTCCACAAACATTTACTAAGTGCCTTCTATGTGTCAGGCACTGGGGGTTTAGGGTGGAAAAGGGAAGAGAATAAACACATATATATAGCAATAAAGAGCTCCATATGTAGGGAAGGAGACCAAGTACAGAAAGGAGGCCTGCCATTGTGTGGCTTGAAGTGGGGCAGAATAGACATCTCAAGCCTTCTCCAATAGCAGCTTTCATTTCTGCCAGGAAGGGAAGCAGGAGGTTGGGGCTAGGGGCCCCTCAGAGAGAGGGTACTAGGCCAGAAGTATATTTAGCTGTTCCCTTAAATATTGTTCATCTAGGGCATATGATCAGGTTCTATGTGACTTTTGATCACTTTGTCATTTCTGGAGAGAAGGGAGACCACAGGCTTGAGATTTAAGGCTCGACCCCTTTCCCATCTCATACCATTTCCACAGTGAACACACATGGCAAATAGCAAAGAAACCTATTTCTCCAAATCATAGCAAAAAAGAAATCAGAGAAGGGACACATAGGAGAATAGATACCAGACAATATGGAATGAAGGAGCTCTCCCATTGGGAGTGAGGTAATTCAGCTCAACTAAGAGAGAAGGTCCTGGATCTCATACAAGGGGTAACTCAAACTGAGAATAGAGTTGTGATAGAGACTGCCCACTCCTCATGCCTTCCCAGAGTCTTTTCTTTCAACTACCTGAAGTGGGGTTGGCCTCTTCCATCTTCTCTCTCTCTCTCTTTTTTTTTTTTGTGCTAGGCAATCGGGGTTAAGTGATTTGCCCAAGGTCACACAGCTAGTTAAGTATCAAAGTGTCTGAGGCAGGATTTGAACTCAGGTCCTCCTGACTCCAAGGCCAGAGCTCTATCCACTGTGCCACCTAGCTGTCCCTAAGAGTTTGGTCTGAGGCCAGATTTGAACTCAGGTCCTCCTGACTTCAGGGCTGGTGCT